ATTGGTATTGAAGAGGGTCTCTGACACCAGCGTACGGGGGGCGCCAGTGTCGCAGGCTGCCCTAATCTCACCGCCGTCAATTGCAACGGGAAGAGAATAAACCATGATAAAAACATAACAAGGTAAAACCATTGAGAGGCAGTCTGACGTTTGCCAACAATATAATTTTAAAATCAAAACTCAAACTCACACACACATTCTCATTTTCAATCCCAAACAACAACAATTGTGAACAATTTAATTTTTTTATTCTCAATTTTATATGATTTTAAAATGTTGGCAAACGTCAGAAAAAAATCATGGCCGACGAAATGAGAGAATGAATTTACCTTGTAATGTTTTTATCATGGAATAAACCATGTTTTCATGCTTTTATCAGTTATACTAAAAATAGAGTAATCGAAAACGTCATTATTTTCGTTCGAATAGTTGTGTGAAGTGTTAGCATCTAAAGCATTTGATACATAATTCAATTGTACTTGAATGCGGAGTATAGGTTTTGGATGCTAGATGCCCAATTTTACCACATGTGTGGTACTTGCTCTGTTTGAATCTACATTTATCCGATTTGTGGTTCTGCCATCCACAATGACCGCAGGCATTTAGCGAGTTTTTATTCTTGTTGTAGGTATTGTATCTGCCGTTGCGAGTTTTTCAGCCCTTCACTAAATTAACAATGTCGTCGTTGTTGCTTTCACGCTTAGCTGCAATTTTACTTTCAAGTATCATCGCTTTTCTCAACGCATCTTCACAGAAGACTTTCACCAAACCTACAATTTAATGCAAGTTTTTTTACACGGGTGTACCACTCGGCCGCCGTTTCATTTTCCAGTTGCGCAGACAAATGAAACTTCTTGCGTTCCAGGCAAACAATTACGGGTGGAGTGTAATATGTATCCAGACTTTACATAATTCTTTGTAGTTTTTTGCATCGGAGTTTGTGTGCTGCATACTCTGTAAAACACACTATGCTGCAGCACCCATATAATTTACTTGGCATTGTCTTCTGTGCAATTAAATTCCATCAGATGAATCTCCAGCTTTTCCCTCCATATTACCCACGTTTCGATGTTGGGCTGGAACTGCGGTACCATGAGCATGGTCATATTGGGAGAATTATTCGGTGCTACCAACATGTTGCTCAAAATCTTATTATAAATACAATCTTTGATTTAAGTCGTCGCCAATGTAATGTTCTCTAATAGAGAACTCGAAAATGAGAAAAACACGTTTTGTTTACTTGCTGATTTCTGAGTCTTTTTGGTATAATTTCTATCGATAATGTAATGATGAAGTGTTCATAAAAGTGTATAACATAAAGTGTGTTCGGTATAATAAGTAATATAATATGTGTTGCGGTCTTTTTCCAAATTAAATCGATGCAAGGATTCCGAATAATTAATCAATTCGTTCAATTAACTTTTAATTTAATTAAAAACAAAATATAAACGGGCGAACGAGTATGCGAGCGGTAGCAAAAATCTATAGCGAATGCAAAACAACGAAAGCTTAAAACCAAAAACGAAAGGGTGAATAGCAAATGTCAAATGACGTTTGCTTTAGTTCCTGTGTGGTGTCAAAGCATTAACCCTTACGAACACATGAAACTTAACTCTTATGTTGTACATGTATACATTAAATCTTTAGAGTTAGCATATTCGCACTCAACATACAGCCGCCCTTGAACTATTATATTAATATGTTCAAAACAAGATACAAAAAGAAATAATCCGTAAGTGGCAAAATCAAAAAGGAGTTGATAGTAAAACTATGAGTTCGTTCCTTCGTAAAATATATCATCTTTCGTAGGTAGAAGGTGCAGCTTGGCTATTGGACGAACAAATTCTCCATTCGTCGTTCTCACTGTCACGACTCAAGGGATTGATTCGTCAATCCCACAAAAAAAATCACGAGTTTAAATTTTGTAGTTATTTTATTGAACTCATAATTCTTAATGCTCTACTTAAATCGAATTTAGATTTATAACTTTTATTTTGCTGGCTCAGCTCACATTTGTTGAAATAT